TAGAAGATGTAAGACCTGTTCGGTGCTGACTTCACTGGGAGATTTGTGGCGCACTCTGGGTCGCGGCTGAGGTTCATCGAAAACTTCCCTGTCACTGCAAATTTTACATTTTTTCATCAGAAAAGTCTATTGTGACGAAATGGTACGTCTCTCAGAGTCCATCGCTACAGTCCAGTGGTCAATTCTTTGCAGTTCTTGCCAGCGCGTTACACTAGAGCGCTTTATCCCCTTCAGCTGGCTTCTCAAGAATCGTTTGGAGTGAAAGCCTATCTGCAGATTTCTTATCCTATAGCTGTTGTTGGAAAAGGCAACTCAGGGCGAATAATTCTTACTTTCTGCAAAGAATTTTTCAAAGGGTTTTGTGCTCACTTTTTGACACTGCAGTTCTAGGCTAGCTGCTAATTTTCAAGAATTGCTCACTTGCGTCTCCTGTCCGATTTGTTTTGTTCGTGACGCCGATGCTTCTGACGATGTCTTTTACGTGTTGGAGTAGAAACTTCCTGAAAAGTTGTCTGAGTAAATAAAAAGGAAGGCAATACTTCTATAAGCAGTCAAATTTTTGTGAAAAAAGCCACTCATTATTACGATTTTCTAAGTTATTGTTCAGTGGTTCGAAAAATACAAAAACAAAAAAGTTTGAATTTGCGTTTGCTAAATTGACTGGTGTTGCGAGATGTGCAACATACACGGCTGGCGTCTGCTGCATAGCGTCCGAATAGTGGACGTTGTGGCCATTCCACTCCAAAGCTGTCGTTCACCTGTAGCAAATTGTGCATGTGAGATGTTAACTGGTATCTTCTTGTATAAGGGTTCGATTTTGCCAATAAGAGAACAAAAAAATCCTTCTACAATTCGTTGATTCACTCGTCTTGATGTAGTAAACTAGTAATGAAACATGTCAGGAAGAAGAAACTACAAAAATTTTGCCTTTTAAAGAGGAAGCTATCAACAGCGATTTCGGACTGTTCCTGTCAAATCAGTTTAGAAGCGATTTCAGACTTTGTCGATCATAATAAATGATGATATTTTGTATTTTGCATACTAGCAGGTTGGAAGTAATGATGTAAAGGTTGAATATGAGTGCAGGAAGCGTTAATTGTAGACATAACATATCAAAAAGGTTAGAATAGAGAATGAGGAAGAGTAACTGAAGAGGAATTTTTCTGTCCAGCAGTTTTGCATACATTCCTATTTAGCACCGCAACTGAACCTCGTCAGTACGACAGTACTGTTGAAGTTCTCAGAGAATTCATACGGAGATGAAAGTATGCACCCACCAGCCTTCCATCGCTTGTTTCACGTACCACGTAGCTCGGCGGAATCGGACTCTCAATCTGCGCCAGTGGCTCATAACCCCTAAAGCCAAATGCTCATAGTCGTTACACAAATAAATTCTAGCTTTTCTTGCCGCTCATCAAAAATTCTTATTGAGAGGTCGAGTACACTTTAGCAGAGCGATGGCACTGATCCAGTAAGACGTCTTTTTGTTTTCGAAAACTGATTTCGTCCTAATTTCCAGGAAAATAATGGAAGTGGAGGAAAAGTGAGATAGCAGTATTGTGAAGAAGGGATTCAAAAAAGAAGGGATATTTGGGATATATACTGGATTGACCACAGCAACGATAATTGTCTCGCCACGATTTAGTCACAGTTGATCGGAACAAAGTAAGTACTGTGCAAGCACCCATCAAAAATTACTGGAGCATTCTGTTTCAGCGTATTTGTGCTTTATCAAATTTGCCGCATAAATCATTTTCCCAAAAAACTTGAGACACGAAATATTTTATTCTGCTGTTTTAAAAGCACATATTTCTTGCAGTAGTGGTGTATTGGCTAAAAATGCCGAGTGCATACAGCAAGTAGCGATTGCGAACCTCACGCTGACTCTC